TACATGGCCGATTCCAAGGTGATTGGCACTATGAGGCCATGAATTAGTCTCAGTGTTGTGATCCCACAGGCACTGAGCAGGAGAGTCTTCTTCTTGGCTGTGTCCTGGATGCCCTGGAACACTATGTAGTACTTGAGCCTCTCCACCCAGGTTTCCTAAAGCTCTGGGTGAGCAAGGTCAAATTCCGGCAGATGTCCTGGAGCAGCAGCCAGGATCCCGGTAGGGATGCGATGCACTTGGCACTGGAGCTTGGTGCACAGTGCAGTGCTGGAGGGCACTAGGCTGACTCAACAGGATCCCATCCTCGTCGCCAGTGTTAAATAGTGGGTTCCATGGATGAACAGACTCCCAGTCTAGTGATCAGCTCTACTTTATTCAGTGATTTCAGCAAGAACAAGACAGTAGACCAGAGCCTCAGCTCGGTTATATTGCATGCAATGGCCACACCCCAACACACCCCACTCCCAACGGTAGGCTATTTACAAAACTTTACATCTTAATTGATTACTGCCATAATCCTGTTGGTCTATTGTTATTTGGCTCCAAGCTCACCCTGTCTCTGGCAGCACTGTCCTACACTAATACATACCACGTGGGTATAAAAGTGATGATGTCTCATTGGGATGATTTAAAGTTTCCTTCTAGTTACAGCTCTTAATTCAGGAATTAACTAATAACAGAAACAGGAGCATATGGCAAATGTGACACATCAATAATAAAATAGGAAATAATTTTAATTAGTGCCTGTTATTCAAAACAACACTCACTTTCCAATCAGTCTGAACCAAATATTAAGGACACTTCATTTTAGTTTACCAGAAGGTGCAAACAATGAGACCCAGTTTGGAGTAATGGTTGAGTGCATAGACTCTAATCTGGGAGAACCGGGTTTGATTCCCCACTCCTCCACTTGTACCTACTGTATGACCTTGGGCAAGCCATAGTTCTGGCACGACTGTTCTTGAAAAAAAGCAGCTTCTGTCAGAGCTCTCTCAGCCCCACCTACCACACAGGGTGTCTGTTGTGGGGAGGGGAAGGGAAAGGACTTTGTAAGCCACTCTAAGACTCCTCTGGGTAGTGAAGAGTGGGGTATAAATCCAATCTCTTCCTCCTCCTCTTCTTCTTCATCATCATTATACAAATGTAAAGTATTCCTGAGGACTGGAAGGTAGCTAATGTCACTCCCATCTTTAAAAAGGGTTCTAGAGGAGATCCGGGAAATTACAGGCCAGTCAGTGTGACGTCGATACCAGGTAAATTGGTGGAAAACTTTATTAAAGAAGGAATTAGTAGGCACATTGATGAACAAAAACTATTGAGGCAGATTTAGCATGGGTTCTGTAAGGGAAGATCTTGTTTCACTAACCTGTTAGTGTTCTTTGAGGGATAGATGTTTTTTACCTTGACTTCTAGAAAGCTTTTGATAAAGTTCTTCGTCAAAGGTTCCTAAGTAAGCTCAATAGTTATGGGATAAAAGGACAAATCCTTTTGTGGATCAAAAACTGGCTAATTAATAGGAAACAGAGAATGTGTATAATTGGGCAATTTTCTCAGTGGAGGGTGGTAAGCAGTGGGGTGCCACAGGGATCAGTACTGGGTCCGATGCTTTTTATCTTGTTTATTAATTATTTGGAGTGGGGAGTAAGCAGTGAAGTTCCTAAATTTGCAGATGACACGAAGTTGTTCAGGGTGGTGAGAACCACGGACCCTGCGTGCTAGTAGAGGTTTCTGTCCATGGACATTTTCTTTCTGTGGAATATTCTTGGCTCCTGTTTTTCCTGTGTCCTGTTCTCTTGGTTTAAAAAACGTTTGTGGCTAGAAGTAGTGAGTATTGAGGTACTGGATATTACACAGAAAGAAAATATAGAAGACAAACAATAGACAATTTACAGAATCAGAAATTTCTGTTCTGAAAAATAGACTCTCATTTGTCCCTACCCCTCAGCATGATGATTTCAAACTTATGGTGGAGATGCAACACCTTTTTCGAAAGATTAGACTGGCTGATTTTTTTTTAAAGAATAATACTGACCAACCTATCAGGCAGGTGGTAAAGTTTAAACCAAAATCCACCATCAGTCCACCCTCCCCAAATCCTAGAGTCTTAACCTTTCAGGAGTTGGTTATGGAAGATATAAATAAAATGTATGATACCAGTAGTGAAATCTGGCAAAATCTGACTAGAGCAGAAAAAATCTCTTTGAACAGTTTGAAAAACCTAGAGGATGTTATTTTTTAAGCCAGCAGACAAGGGGGATGGTTTGGTTATATGGGATAAAAAAGAATATATTATGGAGGTCAATAGACAACTTAATAACACCCTACATTACAGTATAAGCAAGGAGGATCCCATTCAGAAAATTAGGAAGGAGATTATTATAGTACTGGATGAGGCCCTATTAGCAGGCTATATATCCAGATCCACCTATGACTTCCTTCTACAATCTGAAAATAGAACCCCACAATTCTATCTTTTACCCCAAACCCACAAAGGCGTACTGCCTGTTCCTGGCAGACCCATAGTCTCGGGATGTGGGTCCATTTTGGAACCATTAGCCAGTTATTTGGATGAATTCTTAAAACCCTTCATCCCAAAAATTAATACATACCTAAGGGACACTATGGATTTTTTGGGACATATTAATAAGATCAGGATGGAACATGAGGATATGCTCTTTGTCACTTTGGATGTGGTATCACTATATACCAACATACCACACAATGAGGCCCTAGAGGTACTTCAAACTACACTGGATATGAGGGAAGGTGATCCTAATCCTCCCACTGTCTTTTTATGCCATATAGCTGAAATTTGATTGAAAAGGAATTATTTTCAGTTTGAGGAAAACATTTTTTGGCAAGTGTCTGCAATGGGGGACTGCAATGGGATGCAAATTGCACCAGAATTGGCAAATATTTTTATGAATCAATTTGAAAATCAATTCATCCTTAATGCAAACAACATCTATGCTGAGAACATCATTATTTTAAAGAAATTTTTGGATGACATTTTTCTACTCTGGAAAAGTCCAGTTCAACTTTTCACTGGCATTTAAATATTTCATTAATGGCTTGCATGAAACTATCAGATTTGAAATGAAATATGATTACAAGGAAATTAACGTCCTGGATGTCAGTATTAGAAGGATGGGAAACAGACCAGCGCCTATAAAAAACCCACAGATGCGAAGATCTGAGCCTCAACACTCTGGCTTCTGTTCTCTTGGTGGCGACATGAGGGTCTCAGCTAGCGCTGAGCCGCCTGAACCCTTTCAGCTCCTTTTTGGAGTCTCCCGGTCACTGGGAGAACTCTGACGGACCTCCCGGTGAGAGGTTCAGAGCAGGAGGGTTTGTTTTGGCCCCTCCCTTGACTGGCAATGAGGGGGGGTGAGAAAGAAGTACTTTTCTCCCTTTCTCACAATACAAGAACTTGTGGGCACTCAATGAAATTGCTGAGCAGTCAGTTTAGAACAGATAAAAGGAAGTACTTCTTCACCCAAAGAGTGGTTAACACATGGAATTCACTGCCACAGGAGGTGGTGGTGAGTACAAGCATGGACAGCTTCAAGAGGGAATTAGATAAGCATATGGAGCAGAAGTCCATCAGTGGCCATTAGCCACAAGGTATAGATAGGAACTCTCAGGCTGGGACAAGTGATGCACTGTATTCTTGGTGCTTGGGGGGGCAACAGTGGGAGGGCTTCTAGTGGTCTGGCCGCAGTGCTGGACCTCCTGATGGCACCTAGTATTTTTTGCCACTGTGTGACAGAGTGTTGGATGGATGGGCCATTGGCCTAATCCAACACTGACTTCTCTTATGTTCTTATGTATTTAAGACTACCTCTTCCAGTATCATCTTGTGCAATAGCTCTGCTCCTTGGATGAACATCTATTGGTTACGCTGCCCTTCTGTATGGTAGTTAGGATGGTCCCTGTTAGATGACTGCTCCTATTGCTAGGAAGGCGCCCACTTTGAGAGCCAGTTTGGTGTAGTGGTTAAGTGCGTGGTCTCTAATCTGGGAGAACCGAGTTTGATTCCCCACTTGCACCTGGCTGGATGACCTTGGGCAAGCCATAATTCTGGCACAGCTGTTCTTGAAAAAGAGCAGTTTCTGTCAGAGTTCTCTCAGCCCCACCTATCTCACAGGGTGTCTGTTGTGGGGAGGGGAAGGGAAAGGAGTTTGTAAGCCATTCTGAGACTCCTTTGGGTAGTGAAGGGCAGGGTATAAATCCAATCTCCTCCTCCTCCTTCTCCTCTTTCTTCTTCTTTTTTGTTGAGTTGGAATAGTTTAGGGGGGCTTTGGAAACAGCCACCTGTGTTAGTAATTTTGTTGGTTTTTAGGGATTTTAAAAATTGTATACTATATTTTAGTTTTTATTGTAGCCTGTCACATCCAATGTCAGAAAAAAGCTTGAAATGCTCTAACTAAATATTTATTTATTTATTTTGTGGTTTATACTTCTGAATAACTGCTGTTGTTCTAATTATGCAATGTTTTTGGCATTGCTTGTATAAATACAGGTTACAGCACTTTAAAAGTAAAGCTAAACTATCTTTTCAACAACAGTATCCATCTATCTGAGAATCTGGCATGACAAGTATTAAAATGGTGGGGTGGCTGGTGAGATAAATATAGATAGCCTTGGCTTACTAGCTAAAGCCCAATCTGTCAGGCTTTTTGAAGGTTGCTTTGATACCATGTGCAGTTAGAGTGTTTCATGAGCCTAGTTTGATCAAATGTTTGCTCAACTCATGTCAATATTTCTCATAGATCAAGGCTAATTCAGTAATGAATGTCAAGAGGATCAAGGTTATTTAAGAAACGCTGCGTCACTCGTGAGGTTTAAATTATCTGTTCTATTTGGCTGGGTTTATGTCATCTGGTGGTCGTATGGCTTTTCTTTGCAGCTGTGTGGGTTCCACAGTGATAACAGGGATTTTCACCACCATATAAAGCAACATCCATCTCCTGGTCTGTACTTTAACTGAAAGTGGAAAGATGGGGAAGGTGATGATGTGGACAGGTGAGTAATTCTGGATGTCGAGCCATTCACTTAACCTAACTGGTACATCTGAACATTTATGTAAACACATTTCTTAACAGAGATGCAAACTTTTCTTAGAAAGGCTTTACAGTAATACTCCTTTTATAGGCAGATTCAGTGACTGAAGTTTTCCTTCATGGTCAGGTCCTATTTGATCACCACATTTGGAATAAGAAAGTGCTGCTTATCACTTCTCTGATGGCAAGAAGTCCAGTGGAAACACTACTGTAGTTTTCTTTGGATGAGAGAGCACGGGAGATATATGGTCTTTGTAATACCTGCATTTATAAATGTACTTTATCAGCAGATAATATAGCCATTAATTCTGCATCAGGGTCCCAAAGAGGGCAACTGCACCCGAGTGATGCTTAACTTTAGCCAACTCAAGCCACTGTCTGCCTTCCAGTTTGAATTTCCTAATGTGTTCCAAATTGTTTCTCTACCCATCCACTTAGCAGAAGGGTGACAAATACAGATGGATATAACATTCTAAGACTGGAGAGAAACTCCAATTGTTAACCACACTTCAGGCAAATCTATAGAGCGAAGCCTATCAAACTCATATTTTTGCCAGGGCAAATCATCTAGTGAGGCTGAAATGGTTCAGTTCCTTAAAATAGCTGAAGTTACCTGTTCAGTGGGCTCCATGGGATGAGACAGGACTGTCTAATCCCTACAACTTTAAGGAATTGGAAATATTTTAACTTATTTTCTCCCTGTGGTTCATTATATTCTGTTGTTTTCTTTTAGCTCTGGTCATTCTCCTGCAGTTGCAGCTGGGTGAGTATCTTGTTGATTTTATTTGTGCCTATGGCAATTAATAAAACATTGTTTTCTGTTTTCAGGTAAATGTATTCTGCAGTGTAGAAGCAAGCTATTTTTAAATCTCCATACACCAATACATGATTATTAATTAACTGGCTATTCATTAGCATTTTTCATTCTGTTTAATTAATACACAGCAGGGTTCTGTTCTAACCAGCACCATGGAGAGGAAGGGCTCCCCTTAACCCAGGACATAAAACCGACTTCATAGCTTCAGATACTGAGTAAACAGGAATCTGGACAAGGGGCCAAACAGTCCACCTTCTCTGTTTTGCTCTCATGCAAGAGCAGAGCACCAGAGAGCATGACACCAGCTGGTCTGGGTTGAAAGCTTAAATGCCAGGGTTTTGGCAAGAACTGGAAGTTTTTCTAGGAGGCCATAATTGCTTGCTTCAACCCTTTGCTTGACTTGAAATCATGGCAAGTGCCTTCCTGTGGTGACAGAGCACTTGCTAGATGGTATAAATGGGCGTCAACGTGGCAAATGGCGTTCAATGTGGCCAAGTGCAAAGTGATGCACATTGGAGCCAAAAATCCTAAATATAAATACACATTAATGGGGTCCAAACTGGCAGAAACTGACCAAGAGAGAGATCTTGGAGTCGTAGTAGATAACTCAATGAAAATGTCGAGACAGTGTGCGACTGCAGTAAAAAAGGCCAACGCTATGCTGGGGATTACTAGGAAGGGAACTGAAAACAAATCAGCCAGTATCATAATGCCCCTGTATAAAACAATGCTGCAGCCTCATTTGGAGTACTGTGTACAGTTCTGGTCACCACACCTCAAAAAGGATATTATAGCATTGGCAAAAGGCAGAAAAGGGCAACTCGAATGATAACAGGGTTGGAACACTTTCCCTATGAAGAAAGGTTAAAGTGCTTGGGGCTCTTTAGCTTGGAGAAATGACGGCTGAGGGGTGACATGATTGAAAAGTTTATAAGAGCAGGTAGGACAGGTAGAGAAAGAAGTACTTTTCTCCCTTTCTCACAGTACAAGAACTCATGGGCACTCCATGAAATTGCTGAGCAGTCAGGTTAGAACAGATAAAAGGAAGTACTTCTTCACCCAAAAAGTGATTAACACATGGAATTCACTGCCACAGGAGGTGGTGGCGGGTACAAGCATGAACAGCTTCAAGAGGGAATTAGATAAGCATATGGAGCAGAGGTCCATCAGTGGCTATTAGCCACAAGGTATAGATAGGAACTCTCAGGCTGGGGCAAGTGATGCACTGTATTCTTGGTGCTTGGGGGGGGACAACAGTGGGAGAGCTTCTAGTGTTCTGGCCCCACTGGTGGACCTCCTGATGGCACCTAGTACTTTTGGCCACTGTGTGACAGAGTGTTGGACTAGATGGGCCATTGGCCTGATCCAACATTGGCTTCTCTTATGTTCTTATGAAGGATTACACCATATGATTTTGGAATTCTATAGAGCTTTCCCCCACTCTCCGTTCCTTAAGAATCAATTAGTCCCTAGTGTGTGCGGTTTGCCATGCTGAGAGGAAGTAATAAAGGCAAAGTGGTGGTGGTGTAAGCCAACTTATGCTGACCCTGTAGAGTTTTCAAGGCAAGTGAAGAACAGAGTTGGTTTGCCATTGCTGGACTTCCATGATGGTCTCCCATGCGAGTACTAACCAAGGCCAACTCAAGATCTGCCTTGATGAAGCATTGAAATGTGGTCCAAGCTATTCCATTGCAGAAACCACAGGAGTTGCTATGTAAAACTACAACACGGAAAAGAAAAACGGACCACAAAATAGGACTGTTTGTATTAATTTATCTATAGGCATGCATTCATCCATAGAAGCCTGATGGAATGTTTGTAAATAGAAACTTTTGTTGATTGTGAAAAGGTGAAGGAGTTACACTTAGCTTTGATAATACAATGATATAGTTATTATATCATAGTTGTGTTTTGTTGTTTACCATCTGGAGGCTGGCGACCTCACAGAGACCTGAGATAGAGTTTGAAACCTGCAAGCAGAATTGTCAGCAAGTTGCATTCACCAAATTTTAAAGGCGATATGAAAAATCTGTCCACAAGTTAAAGTAAGGACAGGTGTTTAGTAGGGAGTAAGGTAAGAAACCAGGGAGTAAATAGGGGTAGTTGGAACATCTGTTACAATTACATGATGCAGCAATTGAGGGAGATAATGAAAGGAGAAGACAGGAAATACCTCAGCATAACCCCCCCCAAGGAACAGTACATTTGACATGGGGGGAAATCTAAAGCAAGACACTATTTAAGAACTCTTTCTTTTGATTGTATCATTGTTGAAGAGAGAGCAGGTGAGTACAATTTGCATGAGAAACACAGAGGCTCTGTTTAGATATTGCAGCTTGTTCAGGGCAGGTAGAAAACTGGTTAATTGACAAACTACCATTCTCTCTCCCTCCTTCAGTCCTACTGGAACTGATGACAGAAGTTTTCGGTCTATCTACTGTTAGGCATGCTGTCTCAATGTTGGGGCCTTCTCTAACTGAAGTTTGTTTCTTTTCCACTTACTAGGATTCTCAGTAAAGGTTTAATTTTTAGTTGTGACAATGCCTTCTCTAGAGGTATCTGCCTAGGTTAGAGAAACAGATGATTCCATCAGTTTAACAATGGTTTTCTGTCTTCCATCCAGGCTCTGCATATAAACTCGTGTGCTACTTCACAAACTGGTCTCAGTATAGACCAGACCCAGCTAAGTACTTCCCAAACAACATTGACCCAAATCTTTGTACCCACTTGGTTTATGCTTTTGCTACTATGAAAGACAATAAGATAGCTCCTTATGAATATAATGATGAAGATGAACTCTACCCTCAGTTCCAAGCACTGAAAAAGAGGTCAGACTTAAAAAGTATATAAAGATAGAATCTCTAATTCTTCTTTGTAAAAATACCGTGCAGTGTTCCGATATTACATTTGCATCTTTACAGTAATAGTGAAGGGCTTGGAAGTGATTTTTTTAAAAAATCTAACATGTAGATCAGTTTTAACAATGACAAACCAAGGTTTTCACACACATAACAGTGCTGGTGATCTTGAGCTCATTTTGCGATGACTGTGAAGGTTGCAGAAAGGAGTAGAAGAGAGCTACTTTTAAAACAAAGACCTTTTCCTTGCAGGTTATTTGCCCTGGTTGGAAAATAAGATTTTTTTCTGCTTCCCAACAGCATTGTAGTACATTCATGTACTTAATAGATTTACATTATATTTTCTGTTTAGCTGTGAAATTTTGGATGGCTGCCATGTGGGCAGGAAAGTCTGGGTTCTCCTAGTCCTGCCTCCATGGCAGCCATTTTCCCTTCTCCAGTCCCTGCAGTGACCTCACCCCTACCTCTGTGGGAATTCTTGAGGGACACCCCCCCCCCAGTAATTGACCTATTGATATAATGGAATATTGCTATGTCAATTACTGGCAAAAATATCCTCAAAAATGCCCCTGGTGGTGCAGGGGTAGAGGGGAATGACTGCCCCAAGGGCTGCGGCCAGGAAATGGGCTATCTGCAAGCCTTGTTGCTGCTGTACTGCGTTGGCAGCCAAAGCAACAATGGCTGCGGTCACACGAAGCAGTAGCCATGCTACTGTGATGGAAGATAGGTGGATTTTCCGGGCGCGATCTCACCGCCACATCTGGGAAGTGTAGAGCTCCCGAGGCGAACCCGAGGCTTCCCTCCGAAGATGCGCAGTTAAAAACTAGTACCTCAGAGGTACTAATTTCTGGAAACCGCGGGGCAAGGGCGGGAGTCTGATCGTGTTTCTGGTGGCATCCGGCGCCCACCCATGCCCCATTGCGAAAAGGTGTTTTTCCCCCCGAAGTCTCCAGGGATGCGCACAAGCACCCAACGGGGCATGCGCATACTTCAGGTTACGAAACAAACAAACAAAAAACCCAGTTTGCCGTGCCAGGCCTTTTGTTTGGCGCGTCGTGTGATCGGCACCTCCCCCCTAACCACGGGACCTCGACGGGACGCCTGAACGTGCAGTCGCGCGTTATTTCGTTGCGGGGCGAACAGCCACACCTCCCCCCCGCGATATCCGGCCAGTGTGACCGGGGCCACAGTGTGGCTTTCATAGGAAAGCATTGCCTTGTGGAAGTAATCAAAGGTGCATTTCCAGCTAATGTGGGTTTTGAGTTCAAATTTCGTATGTCTGAAAAGCAAAAAGCCCTTTCAGACTCATGCATAAAAAAACCTTTAAGAATACAATGTGCAAGTATACATAATGACATATTTTGCAACATGAATGCTAGCTGATCAACTCTACAATTCTCCTTTAGCTTTGAAATATCAGGATTGGCAACAATACATATTGATTTGTACATGGTTTGTAATTCCTCAGACACTTGTAGAATTGGGCATAAATCTCTAGTTTTGAAAAACTGCATGGAATGATTACTTTATGCAGTGGTACTTTGGGGTGAAGCAGGATTATTGCCAACTTGTATGCCACATATGGCTGTTAGAACTTTGCCATCTGCTTATGCATTTGTAGTGTGGATGGGAGATACTAACAGGAAAAACAGCATGATGGAGGTGACAGCACCAAAGGAAGTGAAGAAGAAGGCGTAGTGGCATCTTCTGATGAGGACCCAGATTCTAAGTTTGGGGCAGGAGCCCCAAAAACAAGTTATCAGTTGAGAAAGAAAAAGGATTAAAAAAATGAGATATCAATGGCCTTAGAATCCTTTATAATGTTTTCTAATAATTTCTTATATTGCCAGTTTGGTGTAGTGGTTAAGTGCGCGGACTCTAATCTGGGAGAACCGGATTTGATTCCCCACTCCTCCACTTGCACCTGGCTGAATGACCTTGGGCAAGCCATAGTTCTGATAAGAGCTGTTCTTGGAAAAGAGCAGTTTCTGTCAGAGCTCTCTCAGCCCCACATACCTCACAGGGTGTCTGTTGTGGGGAGGGGGAGGGAAAGGAATTTGTAAGCCATTCTGAGACACCTTTGGGTGGTGAAGGGCGGGGTATAAATCCAATCTCTTCTCCTTCTTTTTATGAAGTAAGATGTGTTGGTGTTTTTATCCTTAATTTGTCTTAGCATGAAGACCATGTTTGATGAACACATCCAATGAATTCTAATCGAACTTTAAGCTAGAAGCTAACTTTATAAGCATTATGTATGACCACCATCTCTTGGATTTTTAGTGGTTTTTCTTTACTTTCTCCCATAGTTTGTAGATTACCTCCCTAATTTTGTTGTAGTTTATAGAAAATGCAATTAAAAAATCCCCTACGGGGGGCCTTAAAAATAAATTAAAAAGAAAAGAAAAACAGCATGATGTGTAGAATCAGAGTTATAATCATGCTTTAGCTGATTGTAGAAGAGAAATGACTGTGAAGGACATCAGACCCCCTGTATGGATGTACCTGATGTTGATGCAACTTTAATATTTCTTAGCCCTGTACCTCTACAATGGCATAATTTGGTGCCTTCTTGTCCTTGGCTCTCAGAATCTGGATGTCAGCAGGGCCAGTATGAGATTTTTTATTTCATTGTAGGAAATGACCAATAATAGCTCACATTCTTCCCTCTACACCAGTTTTATAATTCTGTGGTTTATGTCAGGGCTATTTTCCCCCCATTATAGAAACTGCTTGTGCCTATATGCACCTGGAAATGTTGCAAAATGAGTGTTTATGAATTTCTTTTTGATCTTTGATGTTGTGCACCTCACTCATTGCTTGTTCCCGTGTATGCCAACCACTGATGTGAAGTAATGATCACAAGTTCTGGTATGCCTCACACCTTTCATTTCAAAAAAATGATGTCAGCTCTTTTATGGCAGGTCTCTCGCTCAGTGGCAGGAGTAGTGCTGTTCTTGCAGAAGGGCCCAGTTGCATCCCTGGCAGTTAAAAAAAAATCTTAAATAGGAGATCTAGAAAAGACCTTTCTTAGCCTGTGATCCTAGAGAGGACTGCCAGTCAGCATAGACAATACTAAGCAGTGTCCTGTATATACTCTTCATTTTTATTTAACATTAAAAGAAAAGTTCCTGTGTGTGTGTGTGTGTGGCAAAGTGACCATACTGTTTGTTCTTTTAAGCATTTCTTTTTCTCACAGCAATCCCCACCTGGTTACCCTGCTGGCTGTTGGAGGATGGAACTTTGGCACTGAAATGTGAGACTTTTTCTATATATTTTACATAGATGTAATTGATTATGAGAGTACTTTAGTTAACAACATGTAGTCCAGTTCCACATCAACAATGATAACACTAATTTTATTCTTGCTAGGTACCCAAGTGCTATTGAATTCTAATGAAAGATGGAAGCCTCAGTACCCTAGATTTAGAAAGTTTCTCTGTAGTTTCTCAGGTCGCTTTTACCCTACAACCTTATCCTGATTTGTATGTGTTTCTGCCCCATTTGTTTTTCAAGCAAGGAACGTATGCTTCAAACACCAATGAAATATGTTTGTGAAATGCTCTTAAAACACAGCATCTGTTTCGATGGCACTGCAATTTTCTATGGCGCCTGCATTTTTTTCATTTGTTTTGTTAAAATTTTGCACTATGTTTTAAGTGGAATATTTCTGCTCCACATCCTTTTTGCCTTGTTGTCCCTGTGTAGTGTCACAATGTGGTTAAACAAACCAAACTCATGGGAGGGTGATCCAATTTAAAGGGAACTACAGCAGTTAAATAAACAATTGTCATTAAATGTCAAATTATTTTATTTAAAACATTTCTATGGTGCCTTTCCACCCAATTCAGGGTCCCAAAGGCAGAGAACGATAAAACAAAATATTAAAACTATCAAAGAAATGACTGGAAGGCAATTCAGGGGCTCACATCAGCATGTGGAGGAGTGTGAAAGTGTAAGGGTACTTAATCCTAATATAAACATGCAGGTAATTAGTATAGCAGTATTCTGAAGGGAAGGTATGGAAAGAAATTACTTCAGTGCCCCAGAAGCCAGGACTGCAGAGTTGCTAGAAGGCACAGGAAAAGCAAGGCCGTGCATATCTCAAAATAGTAATATGTCAGTATTGGTATGTTTTTTTTAAAAAGGAGAAGGGGAAAAAGTGGGGGGAAAGAAAAGCACCTTCTTTAAAAGCACAGCAGACCTTTCAAATGCAAGGGGTGAGTCAAAACATCCAAAACATCGAAAACATCACTATAACAGCTATGGCATTCTTGTCTTCTGCTGTGACTCAGAAGCACACACACACACCCCTCAGATCAAAACAGGATTTGAAGTGGGTTACGGTTCAATTAACAGTGGGACGACAGCACTTTAGTGCTCAGGTGTGTGAAATCACAAAAAATAAAAAAATTCCATCTGGCTTCAGATGCCAAAGCAGATGAAAGAGCCTGTATGAAAGAGCTCCTAGTGATCATTAGCAAAAAGTTAATTGTGAGGCAAGGACCATTTCCACAGTGGTGAAATTCCCCAAATTGACATTTTTAAAACTGCACATTATGTGAAATTTTCTGCAGTAGATTTTTCCCCACCAGGTGCAAACCCGAAGTTTTCTCCTTCTAACCCCACATTTTAGGAACTTGCTGTAACTGGGGATTCCAAAATGCGGGGTAAGGAGAAAACTTCAGGTTTGTGCCCGGTGGGGAAAAATCTACTGTGGGAAATTTCACATAGACCGATTTCGCACATGTTACCTGCCTCTGGTTCCAGGTGGGGTAATTTGCCCCAGATTGTTCAAATGCATTCTGCCTTCGCTCTCTCAGCTGTTGTCTTCTTACATTCCTGAGCCTGGTTACAGGTGGAGGCGAGTCTGATGATGAATTACTGGGCTGCAGCAGAGACTGATCCCTTGCAGGTGTTCCCTGGGAGGCTCTATCCTCCTCACCACTTAGATAGCTTTCAGCTACAGGATCCAGTCTTTGCCTTTCGGCTGCAGTACTGTCCTCAGGAGCCTGTTCAGGGTCCTCAGGAGCCTGTTCAGGGGCATCAGCAAAGGCAGGCATGACATCAGCAGGGGCAGGCATGACAGGATTTCTCATTAAAGCTTTTGGTACGCAGCTGTTTCCAATCTGCACCCGGAGTTTGATTTTCATATTACTGCCTTGGCGAGGTTTCCTGCTTCTTCCTTCCTCCCACTCCTCCCACTCTTTTCTTCACCCTCCTAGCCCTTCCCATACCCCTCCCACTTTTCTTAATTTTTTTTAATGCCTGCGCAATCATGTTAAAATGTTATGATGCAATAAAAGGAAGGAATAGGCATCATTGATTGGCTAATCTGTTACTCGCAGATTATTTTATCTTGCATCAAAATGTCAGGCACAGAGTCAGGCTGGCATAAAATGGTGGATGCAGCTTTTGCAGCATTTACAGCCATGACTTATAGCAATGCAACCCAGTAATATAAAAAACAAGGAAGAAGACCCATGAAACTCGCGGGGGGGGGAGCTCCAAACTGAGCAGGGGGAGGAGGAACCAGCAGGAGCAGGTAAGCTCCCCCCATCCCACCGGTTCCTCCGTCTCCTCCTTCCCCCCTGCTTCCCCCCCGCTCCGAACCGAG